TTTAGAGAAGGCTAATGTAAAGGCTTTGGTAGAGATGAAGCTCGACTGCTCAAACACTTCTTTGTATAGTGATCAGGGGTGTGCATTAGTCAATTGGTTCAACCGAATCGAATTCACTTAGAACCTCACCAAACAAGTGTTAAAAAGAACCCACTAGCAATTTAGGCTAGGCTCTTTAACCCACAAACTCCAACATAATATGAATAGGGGAGTACTATCCAACCCAAACAAGTGTTAAAATGAAGGCCAATGCTACGGTGCCGCTATAAAAATTGCGGCACCGGTGACGCTAATTTTTATTGGGTCATGTGGAGCTGATGTGGCACTGACTAGATCAATTTAACCCATGCTCAAATATTAACCGAGCAAGCTGGCCGAACCCAACCGGTAACCACCATCAAACTAACGGGGTGTCTTCCTTTGATTTTCTTTTCTATTTGATTTTCATTTAATTGCATTTACTTTTCTACTGCAATAAACAAGAAAACAAGGTCATTTCTTGGTGTCTTCCTCGATCTCTCGCCTTCCGACTGTGAAGCGCACAAACTGGTCCGGCAAACTCCACAAAAGTCCATCCAAACTCCAAACCTTCTTCTCATTTAAATAGGAGACTAGAAGAAGACCGTTAACAGTAAAAGGCAAGGATAAAAACGAACTAGAAAAGTGAATCGTCGTCTTCTCAATCTCCCTCTCAGGTGACCTATCAAAATCACTTTTGAGGACTCTGTTGTAGATCAAATCCCAAGGTCCGAACCTGGCTAATTCCTCCATTTATTCTGCATAACATAGCCATCGATTCCTGCTTCGTCATCGTCATTCTGTCTCCGTCGAGCTGCAACGTTGCCACGATACCAGATGACCCCTAGTCATTGAATATGACAGCTAACTCCCGCTGCGTCGTCCCCATCGCTGTAAACCGTCCCCGTCATTCCGGCGCCTTAATTTCGCTATTTTGAGACAACCACCATTATTTCCCTTCCATTGAATTCTGACACGCAGTTCATCCAGACTTACCAGGCGTATCCATACATTTATGTATATGAATACATGGGGGATCCGAACGTGTCCGAGATGATCATGCTGAGTACTCTAGCTTTCACCATCCTCTAACCCCTATTGTTGTTCACCTTCCCCCTCTTTGTCGGGCAGTGCTGGGGACGACACAGTTCAACGAGCTCGAGGTATTCGGGGTGACCATCCGAGATAACCAACTGGTACAACTATTCAATGATCTGACTTTTGTTCCCCTTAATTACCCAATTATGCTTCAAACAAGTCATTGCGCTTCTCTTGTTATTTTACTAACGTATCAGATTGTTTCTCCCTCAGGAAGAGGAGCTCAAGTTGAAGCCTGTTATTCCATTCGATTGTGGTAAGGTGACTGATTTATTTGTTTTATTGTGTATCTCATTATATATGTTCTGCCATTCACTATAATGTAGTTGAAATTAGGGAGGGTGATTGGTGCAATGTTGGACACATATATGGAGGCTTCAAAATTTTGTTCTTGGCAAGCATATCTCGAGACCATGTCCGCATAATCCAACACCGTTAAAGGTTAGATTTGTTTTCTTGATTAGGAGTCCCATCGTTTGGCCTCTCTTTTCCTGGTTTTCCTTTGTGTATAAAACAAAATGGTACTTTGAGTTGCTTCTATTGGGGTGGCATCAAATCCTTACCCAAATGATGGGATGAGTTGAGTGTGAAAATGGAGATGCTAGACTTAGTTATACTTTTAAATGTCAATTTCAATAAAACTAGCATTAGTTAATTTATTTCATAGATGACTAACAGAAGCTATAATCAGCTCGAATCTTTAAGGTTCTACTGTTAAAAACTCCAATAGTGTTGCCCTTCCTAAAATCTATCAAGTCCCAGGTCAGCTATCTACAAAATGTTGTGGAGTGGAATGAGAAGACCAAGCAGTTGAGGGAGGGGCAGCTGCTGATGTTGTTTGGTGTCTTAACTTTTGAGTGCTTATTTCTTTTGTCATGAATTCTTGCAATTGAGACTAACCTGTCAATGCTTGGAATGCCTTTGGCAGTGAAATTCATATTGCAAAAGATGCTTGGAATGCATTTAGCATATGATGATTTTACCAGCAGTATCTTACAGAACGAATCTCGATTACGAGCTGCTAGATGATGATTTTACTTGTCCAAACCTTTCTGTTATGCACTCATTTATGCTAATAGTTTTTCTTAAGGGAAACATTCAACCACTTGGCCAGCTGGTTGGAGGACGCAAGGAAGCATATCGAGGAGGTATGCTGCTCTTATTGGAAGATCGGTTCACTTGTCATTTTCGCAAGGCCTCGTGATAACATTGTTCTTCTGTTGTCGGTTCTGCAGTCACGTGGGATCAAGTTTGGCTATGGAGGACAGTCTGGACCATCTACCGGAAGTGGCTCAGCTACTCAAGGAGAACCCTGTTGCGGCTAAATTCAGGAGCTTTATGTATCTTTGGATCTTTTTAACTCTTCTTAGTCTCTATAGCAATGTTGTTTTGTTACTCTACGTGAATCTTGCTGTAAGCTTAGAATTGGGCATTTCAAAGCCGTATACTAGTGAAATAGTTGAATAAATCTAACCAATGTGAATTTGAAATTATCTTCTTCAGAAAAGGATTCCAAATGCATTACATTTTCACAGATGCCTAGTGCCAATATTGGCCGTTGATCAGATCAGATACTTCTGCTCAAGACACGGGTCAATTTAGGCAGACACAATATGCCATGTTATTCAAAGAATTAGACACAAATTCATTGCTCACAGGTCAACTCGGACTTGCCAAATCAAGGGAGTGAGGTTGAAACTCCCAAAGCTGAAGTTCTGAACAAGTTTTCTTGAGTCAAGAATCACAATTCATACTCTATTTTGGCAGTCCACATTCTAAACCAGATGCAAGGGATAATTATATGGCTCAAGGTCAATTCGATCTAGAACATAGGCAGCACAAATGCTTGTTAAATTTCATCGAAAATAAGCCTTTAAGCATAATACATGATCATCCGTTCTTCAGATGAAAAAGCAGCATCAATAAATCAAGAAATGAAGGCTCTAGAAAGCTGCAATTTTCACACCATCTCATCACTTCCTCCAAACTTACACTATTAGCTACCACGTCTACACCCGTAAGCATATAAACAACCTGTATCTCATTCTCACGACATAACGCACGTCAGACCTAAACACAGTACCAACTTCAAGTTCAGATTCTCCAAGCGCGATTCAAAACTTACAAAGAGTTCTCACTTCTCTCAATTCCCTAACTAATCCCGAAAACTTGATGCACAGCTATATCAAAGACAATTTAACGTCAACGTGCATGTCCTTTTCCACGATCCCTTCCTCAGCCACATCCCACTCCCCTCCCTGCAATATAATCATACAATTAAAGCTAACATGAAACATCCAACTGCAAAATAAGAAAGGAAAAGGAAAATGTAATAGATGAACTGCTTACCGGATTCTTGCCCTTGAGCGACAATTTCATCGTCTTCAAATGTGTGTTCATACTGATATCAACACCTATAACATTCAATCCCAGTAACAAATTAGCATAAATCCATTATTCTCTACCATCTTAAGCTTTCCTCCCTAATTAACTAGCTGACATTTGAACAAAGACAAAAGCCAGAGCCAGGTCCATTCATAGAAACAGTAACCCATGGCCATGACCATGACCAATTATTCAAACCAACACAATATGAGATCAAGAAGCCATTAAAGAGCTTTGTATTTAAGCAAGCATCAAATGCTAGAATATAACAACAAACATGCAACCCATGAGCAGTTTAATAAAGATTGTGCAAATAAAGATTGGATACTTCTTCTTCCTTTATTTTCACAAACAAGTCTGCTATTTTTATAGCCAGCCAAGTTTCATTAAAAAGTCCCCTTTGCTTAGTACTGTAATCTTGATCAGATTCGTGTTGTGAACTTCTTTCTTCCGTAAGTTGCAACTTTGTAACCTCTTATTAAACAATGCCAGCAGCTAGCTATTTTGGATTCCGTTCATGATGAGTATTCATACCAATCATTATCATACTTCATAAAATAACAAACGAATTGAATTACCAGGATTTGTTGGGCAATGTCTCTAGGCACCAAGGAACTTCGCAATCGGCTTCGACATTCCCAACAGCAACTGTGTAGAAAGAGGGGACGCTGCAGAGGGAGGGTGATTGACACTTTCTTTGCCTGGGGATCGTCGGAATCGACAGATTTCTTCGACGAAGACATAGGGTCGATCGGAACCAAGGTCGTGTTTTGTTTTACACGATCAATGGGGGAGGAGGATACAGTGAAGGCCTAAGTGCAGGGTGTGGAGTTAGGATCGACATCTGTGGAGTTCGCCGGACACTGCACTCTTTTCAGAATCAGACGAGCAAGAGATGGATGAGACATTATTGGGTTTGCTTTTGAGTTTTTGATCTTTTTTTTCAGGAGAAAAATGAATGCAATTAAATGTAAAGAGAAATCGATCAAAGGAATACACTCTGTTAGTTTGACGATGGTAGCCGGTAGGGTTAGGCCAGCTTGCTTGGTTGATATTTGGGCTTGGGTTTAATTAACCTAGTCAGTGACACATCAGCTCCACGTGGCCCAATAAGAATCAGCGTCACCGGTGCCGCAGTTTTTACAGTGGTACCATAGTATTGGCCTAAAATGAAAGCTACCTCAATCTGGATTGGGTCGTTCCTCCTTAGTACTTAGGAATAGCCCAGGCCTTGTCACTGAAAACCCACTACAGATGGGCCCACGGGCATCTGGCTTTAAAGCCCAATCGTCTTTATCCTTGTCTGATGTCTCCACCGCACTTGAGGTGTTTCCTGTTGAACAAGCAAGCCGAATTAAAATAAGAATTCAGAAAGGAAAATCAAACCAAACGGAAGAAAAATAAGGTCAATACTCAGCAACACCACCACCAGCACTCAAAATCGAAGCCGAAATCAGTCTCCGAAGAACTTAATCGGAGCAAAGGGTTCGCCGGCGGCGATGGACGTGATAAAAACCCAGCAAATCTCGGCGAGGCCGATCGAGAAGGTTGTCGTTCACCCGCTGGTTCTGCTCAGCATCGTCGACAACTACAACAGAGTTGCCAAGGACACTCGTAAACGCGTCGTCGGAGTCTTGCTCGGGAGTGCTTCTAAAGGAATCGTCGACGTCAGCAACAGCTACGCTGGTCAGTAATTTTCTTCCGCTGGCCCCGCTCACTGTTTCTCTGCTCTTTTCTCTTCGTCGTAGTATTGGTTCCCTTGTTTCTAGATCTGTTGCTAGCTTCCGTAGGTGCTTGTGTTCGTAGGATTCAAATTTGCATTAGCTTAGTTTCGGTCCTAAGAGCATTGAGCTGTAAAGGATCTTTTGCTCATCTGTTTAGTCGAATTTTGCTGAGAATCTAGGGATTACAGGTGGTACCTCTGTAACATTTTGGTACTGGGTAGCTATTCACAATTAGGGTTGTGGGGGAATGTGAGTAGAGGCACAAGGTTAGATATCGGCAATACCGATTAAGGGATGGTTAGGATAACTATGTGATGCGTAGGAAACTATAATTATTAAGCTCAAAGAAACGATTTTGATGCAAATAAGTCCGATATGGGGACTGGATCAGGTAAAATATGTTTTGTTCTTCGTTTGAACTTCAACTGTCTCCTGCTCGCTTCATTAGCCCGTGTTTCTGGAGGTTTTATGCCATTCTGATCGTTTGTACAAATATTTGAATTGTGACTTTTCAGTGCCATTTGAGGAAGATGAGAAGGATCCCAGCATCTGGTTTTTAGACCACAACTACCATGAATCGATGTTTTCCATGTTCAAGAGAATTAATGGTATCAGCTATTGCAATGTTGATTACTCTTTGTTGCTTTTTGGAGGGAACACAGTGTTGAGAAACTCTTTTGTTACTTTTTCAGCAAAGGAGCATGTTGTTGGGTGGTATAGTACAGGTCCAAAATTGAAAGAAAATGATCTTGACATTCATGGCTTGTTCTCTGAGTAAGACTGCCAACTCCGACTTCCTAGTTTTTTTGCGTTGAAGTGTACATGTGCTACATTTTGTTTGTGTAAAGCAAGAATACATTGTGCTGAGTTTGTTGCAGTTTCTTCAGATCGAATCGTAGTTGTAGGTTTAACTCGAAGATTCCTCTTTGCTAAGAGGAATTTTTTCTTAGGATTCTCATTGTCATTTCTGTGATCTTGCAGCTACGTTCCAAATCCTGTCCTAGTCATAATTGATGTCCAGCCAGTAGAGCTTGGTATTCCCACCAAAGCTTACTATGCTGTTGAAGAAGTTAAAGAGGTAAGGGCAAAGTGCTAGATTAACTGATTAAGACTATGATTTGTCGGTTGCTCTTTTTTCTTCACGGCTTTGAACTGTTTGTATGCTGCTATAAGGAATGAGTCGAAGATTGAGATGCTTAGCCAATGTTTGTTACTAATTGCAGAATGCGACACAGAAAAGTCAGAAGGTATTTGTGCATGTGCAATCCGAAATTGCAGCTCACGAGGTTGAGGAAATTGGTATGGCATTTCCAATCCAGAGTTTTGTAATTCCTAGTCGAATCACTTTTACAGATTGCTTTGTGCTTGCAAACGTGGAACTTTGCTGTTGATACTGAACTTCCTTATCTTTTTTCTTTTTCTTTTGCCCTCTCCATCATAGGTGTGGAACACCTGCTTCGGGATGTCAAGGACACAACTATAAGCACTCTTGCAACCGAGGTAACTTATCTGGACAAAGCTCATATGTTTTTGTTTCTTTGAAATTTTCTGCTGAGCGGTGAGCACTTATCTCGATTGGCGTGTTCCACACAGGTCACTGGCAAACTTACTGCCTTGAAAGGGTTAGATGCAAGGCTCAAAGAAATAAGAGGTTATCTTGACCTTGTTATTGATGGGAAGCTTCCTTTGAATCATGAGATTCTGTACCATTTGCAGGTTTCACTCCTCTTTAGATCCCTCTTCTTTATGCTAGTTATCTGGATGCGCATGAATGATAGTCTTATACTTCCATTATTATAATTGGCGCTCATCTTAATTTGCTGGAGTTACTGAAGCTTTAATCTTAGGGAGGGATTTGTATTGCTTGTTTTCCATGTTTTAACTGATAATCTGACTTGTCGAGCTGAAAGTTCTCTCCGTGAAATATTCACTGAGAATTGAATTCCTCTGATAGTAACTGATTTTTGTTGCATCTTTCCTGAATAGTTCCTTTCATGTGGAGGTTATAATGTGATTTCCCTGTCCTTGTATTCTTAGCTTGGTGTTAGTGTTGGTCGATATAATTTCGTGTGAAGCCATATGAATTCACCTCCCTTTTACTGATTATGTTTTTCTTGTCTTCCTATCAAAGGACGTATTCAACCTACTTCCAAACCTCAACGTTTCTGAGTTGATCAAGGCTTTTGCTGGTAAGATACGAACATAGCTCGGTTATGCAGTAAAGTTTCTGCTCTCTGTTCAGTGTTCACACTCTCGCAATTATGTTGGCAGTGAAAACAAACGACATGATGTTGGTAATCTACCTCTCGTCCGTCATTCGAAGCGTCATAGCACTCCACAACTTGATCAATAACAAGGTCAGAATATTTAGATTATATGCTCTTACTACCCGCTGTTATAGTTGCGGTAATATCATTATTAGTCACTACAACTTAAAACACCTAACCCACGCATGTTATTGAATATCCAGTTGCTCAACAAAGAACATGAGAAAGCTGAAGACTCAAAACCAGTGACCGTACCAACTGCCACCGGAAGCTAGATACAGACGATCAAGTTTGCTGTTGAATTTCGACGTAATATTTGATCTTCATCCATTGTCTTTGTGATCGCCGGAGTAGAACATTGAACGTTTCGAAGCTTTTTGCGATGGTTGGATGATGGATTGCGTATGTCCATCAAGGGAGGGTCCTCAGAATAGATCAATCCACCACAGACTTTATGTCCCTGAGTTTCCTTTTTAAACAATTGTAGTAGGGTGTTTTGGCTTCTATTAACCATTTTAACGATCAAACTTACTGTTGGCAAAAAAAGATTATCAGGCTGAACCAAAACGGACTCTTAACCTCTTCCTACTACATGGTAGTACATTAGATTAGTTTACATTCAATCATCAATCAGTAGTGCTATCCGAATCAGGCTGAACCGACTGCTCGAATTCAGCATCCATGATAACTCCATCCATCACATGAACAACGATCTCCTATTCTCCTTCCTCCTGATATCCACTCTCTGAGCTGGAATCCAGTTCACGACCAGTGCTCCATCCGAATCCTTGGACACAAACAGTGTCAATCCGGACAATGAATTGTACTTAAACCTCCTCTCCAGGAGCAAGTATTGTCGAATGTAGAGCTCGAGGTACTGCCGAGAACCCCAGAATTCGACAAACCACAGCGTACGAATCATTCCTTGTCGAGTTGGTATCACCATCTGCAGCTTGTAGCCTGATGTCACGCTCGAATGCCCTTGCTGAAGGCATGAACACCGTGAAAGGAAGGTCTTCCGGCAGCATCCCCACCATCATCTCGCCGAACTTGCCGTGCTTCTCGTCGCTGGGAAACACTTCAGGTTGGTGAAGGTCTTGTGCTGACCCATCGTTACTAGCTTTCATGTGAGTTTTACAAGCTAACAATGAGGCCCATGGGGCTTAGGGCCTTTCGAACTGAAGTTCTTGGTCCAGCCCAAATGGCGGATTGCAGCCTATTTTCTTTTGCATGGGGACTGCAACATTGTCTTGGTAACTCCAGCCTCCAGGATTGCATTCTGAACAGGGTGTTGTTTCTCAGTGCAACAACAATCCATGAGCCTAGCACAAAAGCTCTCATAAAGAAAAGAGTTTGTAAGACTTTCAGATACCGATCTATTATTATGAAGATAGTTAGATGAACTAGTATTTTTGCATGATTGTATCAAGACTACATTATCTGGGTAATTTTATCTTAAAAAATATTAATTTTACACGCTAAATTTTATAACATATTAACTTTAGTTATTATAATGTAATTTGAGTATGAAACACAATTAATGGGACCGGAGGAGAAGGAGCTGTTACAACTTCTAATTAATAGTTACTATAATACAATTATAATTAGTGTCGATACTAACACCAAAGGGTGTTAGAACTCTAGCTATCTTGTCCCTGTTTTGTTAGTTTCATGCCGTTTCGAGTCCAATTAACCTTTTTTGGAAGATTAATGTAATATCTCACTTTTTTCTGAAATATATTTTCTGCTTTAGGTATGGACTCGAACAGTTTTGGTTTTTATGCATTATGGTGATTTTCTTTTTTTTGGTAGTAATTTTATGGTGATTTTCAAGAGGTCATCCATCTATACACACTCCTTCACATTAAGTACGTAGTCTCTCATTTCATCAAAAATATTAAAATACATATTTTCAATTAAATTTGGATTGTTGCTAATGATTCATATATTCCTCCCCTAATTTGTTCATGCATGATTTAGAAGTTATATAATGTGTTACCGTTAATTAGTAGCATGACCGTACAAAAGCCTCAAAAATTGTTATTTAACCTCTAATTTTGTCCTTGATTTTAGCTGCAGTCGACAACAAGTACATGCTTCCGACTAGCATTTCCAGTCGGTTATCACTTCTGAAGAAAACATTATCTTTTATTATTATTATATACGATGAAAACAAATCTTGGAAATGGATGATCATCATTCAGCTAGCACTCCAGTCATCTGCACCACTGGCACTGAGCAAAAGAACAAACAAAAAGTTCTATCATCCCACTTTGTTGGGTTGATTTCATCTGGTCCAACAAGGTTACTTTCTTCCCTCTTTGTTCTTTGTTCCATTTTATTTGATTTGTTCATTGTTCCAAAATCCACTCTTTACAGATGAGCCAGATATCGTGTCCTAATCAGAATTGTCGACACTGCTCCGGGCTCCCCTTCGCGAGGAGTGGATGAACAATGACGCGTGTTAACTAAATTGTGTTATTATGGTGCTTGTTGCTGATACTGGATAGTAATTTTAAAATAATGTCTGTGTTGGAAGCTCGCGATAATTTAACTATAGAAACACGTGTTGAATATTTTTGTGTCATCATAATAAATTTATTGATTTTCATAGTGAATTGTTACCGCAAATTTATCAACGAGGTGAATAGCTCAAAACACGTTTTTTGCCATCATATGTTGGTGGTGTAATAAATTTAGGCATAGGTTGATTCCAAAATATCAGTTGATGTGTATTTTAAAAGCTCTCTACTTTTGAACGATTTCATGACTATTTATCTTCATAAATTTCAACTCGAATAGAATGATATATATATCAGTAAGGATAAAAATGTATTTTTCTCACTTTTTTTTTTGAAATTTTTTGCCAAAAGCTCTCTACTTTTGAACGATTTCATGACTATTTATCTTCATAAATTTCAACTCGAATAGGATGATATATATAGTACCAGTAAGGATAAAAATGTACTTTCTCACTTCTTTTTTTTTGAAAAAATTTGCCACACCGATGACCACTTCGTTGAAATACTCATCCAAGTTAGAGGAATTCATGTTTGCCTACAAAATTATTATGTGTTTTTTTTTCCGCCGGCCCGTAATCAACAGACAACAAGATTGATGAAATTACAGGAGATTGATGAAATAAGAGGATTTCAAGGATATAGTATATGAACAATGACTACCATCATAGTATAGTGGAATTCAAGATTTGCAACTGTCTGGAGGATATATAGTGGCCACTAAATTTATACATAATCTTGTAGTACTATATATTTCAATCGTTTTCCATTAATATCATATGCCCATATTCCCCAAAATCCATAAATGGAATTTTTTTTGTTCTTTTTCACTTGGCTTAATGGGATTTGTAGAATCAACCAATTGAGGTGGGGAATATGATTATGTCTCCGTTAGGTGTACTCTAGTGAGTAATCATTCATTTTTTGGAATTTCACAACAATGATTATTTCTGGTTGAAAGAAGGAAGGACAATCTAGCTAGCTAGAGCCATTTAATTATTGGGTTAATAGCATTTTCTGCCCCTGTACTATGGCGATGTAACAAACGTGCCCCTGTACTATTTTTTTGCACAAAGATACCCTTGTACTATTTAGTCGTAACAAACGTGCCCTTCCGTTGTTATTTCTGTTTACTCGCCGTTAAATAGGCCTGGAAATTACCCAATTAACCCTGTTTAATGCCCTCCCATTCCTTCCCACCCATCGATTCTTCCACCAGAGAGACTACCTCTCTTGTCGACCAGAGAGGAACCAGCAGACCCTCGACTCTTCCTTCCGACGACGGCGAGGGAACCAAGGAACCAGCGAACCCTCGAGTCTTCCTTCCGACGACGGCGAGGGAACCAACGAACCCTCCTGGAAAGCCGTCTCCCTCCTCCTGAGCGCCTCGTTCCACCCGCAGCCTCGTTCCAACCGAGCCAGCCAACAGCGTCCTCGTTCCGCTGCAATCTGTCACCGAGCCAGCCAAAAGCATCCTCGTTCCGCCTGCTCCTAAATCTGTCATCGAGGTACATCTTCCTTTCCATTCTCACCTACTGATTTTTTTTGAAACTCTTTCAAACCCTAAGATAAGAGTACATGATAGGGTCTGATTGAATTAAATCAATGGACTCGATGAAGTAGAACAGTAGCAGCAGCATTTAATCAATGGACTCTTTCGAGCCATAGTAGCACTGCAGAATGGAGTAGAACAGTAGCAACAGACTTGAATCAATGGACTTTCGAGCCATAGTAGCATTGCAGAATGGAGTAGAACAGTAGCAGCAGGCAGAGGGTAGAGTAGCAGTTTAGTAGCACTGCAAAAAATGTTCTTTTTGTAATGGCTTGGGTTGATTTCAATTTCCCAACTACTTTGTTTAGGTGAATTCGTCTAATTGATTGAATTGTAGGTCATGGCTTCTTCTCAACAATCATCATTTGGTAGCACTGGAATCGACAATGCAGATGTGTTTTGCTGGTGTGGAATGAGAGCTATCAGGTTGCATTCATGGACTAAAACGAATCCGGGGAGAAGGTTTTACCGTTGTAGGAAGAGTTTGGAAGAAGGAGGCTGTAAGTTTTTCAGGTTTCAAGACCCTGAATTGAACATTCCACATTACAAAGGACTGATTGTTTCTCTTCGAGAAAGAGTGAAAGAAGTTGAAGCTGAAAGAGATATTCTACGTACAAGAAGCAAAATCTTAGCGGAAGAACACACTGACATTATGCGGCAAATGAATGGTGTGACCTCAGTGAAGAAATTGCATATGTTGTATATTGTGATTGTGAGTTTGTTGGTTTTAATTTGCTTGTTATTTGCAGTCATAGTTAATGGCTGAGGTAGAATGGATTTAGATGCATTTTCCCTATCTTTGTAATCACTTTCTGTGAAATGGATATAAGGGGTTCCTTGTTATGTTAATGTCTCTTTGTCTCTTAATGACCTACTTCTTTAGTCAATAATCGTGTCACAGAATACAAAAAAAGCCAGAAAACAGCAGGTTGTTAAAAATGCTTATGAATTGTCTCATAATCCATCCATAATATTGTCATATGTAGTGCAAAATCTAGGTTCATGTCTGCTGCCTGTTCTGCTAATAATACCAAAATAGGCAGCTTAAAGTTCATGTTTGCTGCCTGCACTACACATAATACCAAAATCTATGTTCAAGATGCACTACTAACTATCGACTACTATATCAAGTATTAAATCTAACGAAAAGTAGTCGTGCTCTCTTGAGTGCCGCAACCACCATCTTGCCTTGAACTCACTCCAGCTTCACCACTTCCATGTCCTCCATGTTTGCTTCTTGGCTTCCGAGGGACTTCAATCACCCTTCTAGTTCTCAATCCCAGCTGTATATGATAATGAAAATCATAAGGAGGAAGAATCAAAAGAATAAAACACTAATGTATAGACGACATGTGTAGTACATACATCAAGCACCATGAAACCATTTTCAGCGTGATGCACACCAACCCCTACAAAGGGGCTTTTCTTCTTCTTAGCTGGTATTCTTCCCTGTAATGAAACAATATTCTAAGTTGTTTATCATGCATAATTGAAATCACCCTAGGAAAATCATAAATGTCTCACCTGCCCAACTGCAGATGTTCCATCACGTGTTTGCGATTGATTTGAGTTAATGGCTCCCCTAATATTAGCCTAACAAGAAGAATTCAATTATATACAATCTGCAAACAATCTAATTCTATAAAGGAAATATAAGGTGGAGAACTAACCTCTGTGGGAATCTGAGCTTTGCAAGTGCGAGAGTAGTGTCCCTCGGTTTTACACCTCTTGCATATCATCAATCTCCCGGTCTTACCTAGTTTTGAAGGATCGTTCTTGTCGGGTGCCATCAACTCTTGAGAAGTGTAAGCCTTTTTCTTCTTCTGTCTTTGTCGATCCTCATTTTCTTCAACGCTTCTCACTCTCTTTTTCTTTGGTCTCCCCGGCATAACTCTGAAATCTGGAGGGAGTATGGGCTCATACTCGCTTCGCACCCATGATTTTGGACCATCCATTGGCTGTAACACATGCTTGTATGTATTCCGGAAGTTTTCAGTTGAGAAGCAATCGGAAATGTACATGACAGGGTCTTTATCTTCATAGACCAAGCAGGCAATAGCATGAGGGCACGGAATCCCTGACAATTGCCAAGTTCTACAGGAACAGTTATGTTGCAGAAGATGCACTGTGAATCTTTCCTCTTTATGCCTCACCTCGTACCCATGCTGGCCATTTGATAATATATGGCAAAAAGCAGCTTCTGCAGAATGCGCATTGAACTTCTGCATGATCTTTGGGCAATACAGACCCTCCCACTTTTGTCCCAAGGACATCTTTCTCGCGACCATCTCTACAACCATAACACGGAGTTCATCCAGCATGCTGTATATGGCTTTAAATCTAGCTTCTAAGATGGAGGCATTGAAAGACTCAGACATGTTATTGTCAACCGAATCACACTTAACCTCCGTTGAGAAGTAGCTGCGACACCAGTGTCTTGGGTCAATTAATAGCAATGCAGCTGCAGCTTCCTTATTCTCTGCTGCCACCCTTTGTAAGGCCCGATCAAAGAATATTGGTGTCGTCGCCTTGGCACACGCCCAGAACAACTTTTGCCATGCTCGGTTCCTGAATTTCTTTCTCCAATTGCTGTATATATGTCGTGCACATAGGCGATGCTCCGCGTGTGGGAAGAGTTCGGCTATTGCAGGTACTAGTCCCTATATAAGCATGCAATTTATGTTAGCAACACTTTACTAACAAAAACAAACTATTACCAATAAAAAAATCATCATTATACCTTCATTTGGTCTGAACTGAAGGACCAACCAGCACCTTCATCAATGTCTAAATCATCCCTCAACTCCTTTAGAAACCAGTCCCATGAACTTCTAGACTCAACTTCAGTACATTTGATCATTTGCATCCCTCCCAACTGCAGCAAGTAGCTCTCCTTTGCACAAACCCTTAAGAAAGCAACCATCCAAAGCGACAATCTTCCTACATCCAGCTTTAAAACCTTTTTTCATGGAACCGAAACAGATATGCATACGCTGAAACTTGGGCAGCCCCTCCGGATTGTCTCGGTTCACCATGATACGGACAGTTGTGTCCGAATTAGCTCTCTTCAGTTCTTCCGCATAAGTCCACAGTAGTGCATACTCGTCCTTATAGCATCCTTCGGTCAAGTGCATCACTATCTTCTTTGCACGTGAACATGTCATCCTATGCACATCATATCCCATCTCTTCTTTAATCGTCTCTTTCATGTCCTTGAGCTTCCACTGTGGATGTGCTCTTATCCTCCTATGATACTTCTTTGCAATAACGGCTGGACTGCAGTATTTGTTCTTGAAATGAAGTCCGCATCTATGCACCTTCAGTGTTTTGATGCGAAATGCTTCGGCCCGTTTACACCATGAAACGAACAATGTAAAAGGGCATCCCGGGTACCTACAAATCACCCTTAGCCTCGATGGATCACTTTTCTTCACCAACACACCTTTTCTGGCAGCCAAAGCATACTTTCGAACAACCTCCTTTGCCTGAGGCATGCTAGTGAAAATCATGCCAAGCTCAAAGAATGGTGTTTCCAAATTTGGATCAAATTGTGGAAAACGGCTTCTTCTGCGTATTGCATGATCAGCAACTTCATCCTCCTCATCGGTTCCATCATAACTCCCATCATCACTAGAGCTGAAACCCTCTTGCCCATCCACTTGGTCATGTCTTCTATCAACCTCATCATCTGAGTGATAAATAACAGGAATTCCGATCTTCAGTTTCTCTTTTGCCTTTTTCACCATCGATATTATCTCTTCCCTATCTGCAATATCTTCATCTGAGACCCAATCTGCGTTCAGCTCAAACTCATCGTCAGAGTCTCCGTTCTCTTCTTGATCAACCTCAATTGTTGCCTCATTCAGAATGTTGCCAGCAAATCTCACCTGGACGATTGCAAGAAAGAAAGAACTTCACATCAAAGAAATCATTGATACGTCATTCACACCCGGCCAACCATGAATGAAAGCATAAAAATCATACCTGTTCAGCATGATGTACGTTAACAGCCGCTGCAGAACCTTCATTATTAATTCCACTATCCATCTACTTTGTGTAAGTGGTCCTGAAAAGAACCAATATTCAACTCCTATTTTTGTCGTATTCATCTAAGTTGGGGTTTAAATAAGGGGGTTATGGTGAAGAGAATTTTACCTAGTGAAGTGAGTTTAAATAAGGGGATTATGCTTGCAATCCACTGTGGAGTGCTCTTGCTGCAGCAGACAGCGCCGGCCTGGTGGAGTTCTCGCCGTGAAGCAGCAAGCAGCAGAGAGCGCAGCGTCGGACAAGAAGAAGCGCCGGATGGACGGGAAATTACAAATAACAGGCTAAACTACAACATAAATTTAAGTATTCAGCATATTATTTCCACCAAATAATTACAGCTAAACTACAAAAAAAACCATTTTTTCAAACTGACCCATTTTTTTCGACAATTACGCTGAGCAGATCAGGATACAAACAACTTGAACAGGGGCTTAATCAAGCTTCAGTCCATCAATGTCAAATGAGAAAAGGAACTGAACCCTCAGTTTCTTAACACGACCAACTTTTCATATCTTGAAGCACATTGCACATAAACAGGGTAAGATCGAAGAAAGATTTCCCAGGACTTGAGCGAATTGGCTATAACCTTCTAAGCGCCGGATGGACGGGAAGAAGCGCGCGCCGGACGGACGGAAAGAAGCGACGCGCCGGGAAGAAGCGCCGTCGATGGTCGTCGCCCTGGTCGAAGGAGGAAGATGAACGGGGTCGGCGGGTTTCGCAATTTCCCTTCGCTTCGTGTGTTACGGGAATTGCAACCCTAAATTTGGCGTAATAGAGTTTCAAACGGGTAAGAGGGCATTAAACAAGGTTAATTGGGTAATTTCCAGGCCTATTTAACGGCGAGTAAACAGAAATAACAACGGAAGGGCACGTTTGTTACGACTAAATAGTACAAGGGTATCTTTGTACAAAAAAATAGTACAGGGGCACGTTTGTTACATCGCCATAGTACAGGGGCAGAAAATGCTATTAACCCTTAATTATTCTAGGATTTCGATTCTTTTGGCCCATTCATGGACCATAAAATGAAAGGCAAATGCTATAGTGCTGCTGTTAAAATTGTGGCACCTGTGAGTCTGTGACGCTACTTTTAATTGGTCCACATAGATTGTGCTATGGCACGAGCCAAGTCCATTAAATGCCAACCCAACCTCGATGGCTTATTATAAGTCGTCCAAACCCTCTGATCATTGGCGGCGAGGTAGCAGTTGTTTATAATGGAAAAGGAGAGACGCACAACCTTAGATCATTGGCGACGAAGATGCATCGATTGACTTCAGCTTCGTTGATGGTATAATTAAATCCCCGAATGATGGAGTTTAGATTGGTGACTGTGGAGTTCGCCATAGCAGTTCGCTTTTCTAGAATCAGACGAGCGAGAGATAGAGGCAGACATTTTTTGTTCAATTTTTTTCCCCGGGTTAAATGTTAAACAATTTTAAAATTGACTAATGGAAAAAGAAAATAAATCAAGCAGCCTTGGGAAGACAGACTGCACTGTTAGTTTGAAGTTGGGTTTTGCTACTTCTAATGGCCCCCCGAGTTTGGACAGATTTAATCAAATTAAACCAGCGTCACATCAATTCCACGTGGTCCAATTATATTCTGCTTCACCGGTGCAGTACTTTTTATAGCGGCACCATAATATTGGCTGAATTTCCCCTTATTCAGTCCAAATTTTCCCGTTTCCACGTTCCCGGTTCAAAGCTACGTGTCGTGGGTTTCACATAACAAAACACGAGTCGACGAGCTCCTCCAATTGGAGAAGAACAAGAGGAAGTACTACCTACTACTCGATCGTAGTGAACAATTTTGCCAAGGAAACATATAACGACTACTAAGTACTATAGTAAGATGGACACGAGAAACGGGAAAAGAAGTTGTGATTTTTCGCTACGCCAATGTAAATTTTATGGAAGAATCAATGGTCATGGGATGAGATGATTCGTGGGAACTATTCATTGGAGGAGTTTTCACCAACTTGGCTGCTGATCTCCATTACCGGACATCATAATATTGCATGTGCAATAGGGCATGTCGTGTGTGATATCAGACTGCTTGAGAAGAAGAAGAAGAAGACGACGACGCAGCTAGCTTATGAGAAATTATAAATCCAAACCAAGTAGTGCACGTACGTAATTCTATATATTGGGCTCATACACTCAATAAGTCGTTTAATTTCATCTCTTTCAATAATTTCGGAATATGTATATACATAAATTAAAATCCCTATGTATCTTAATTTCGGACGAAGCACCTCATTTGATTCTCACTTTCTTTCTTAACTTTATTCTCGAGTTGGTTGTTTTTCCATTGCTTAATTTTGTTTTGTTCTTGTTTTTTTCTTCCGTTGCTTGCTTGCTCTACTGCTAGTTGAGTTGCTGGCTTTTTGTTTTTATCCTTTGTACTGTTTGTTTTCTGGATTGCTTAGTTTCTTATAAAATTCTCCATCATCCATAAAAAAACTATGTATCTTGGTCAGATTGCCCACCCTTTGACCAAGAAACCACCTTCAATAATAATAATAATAATAATAATAATGTCAGAGCTAGCTAGTAGTTATGCTCGATCATCCAAGATGGCCTAGTGGCCCCGGTTTGTGATTTTGACGCCAACAGTTACGATCGAATGCCTCTAGTTGATCAACCCTTTCAACTTTGGTATATATATATATTAGGAATCCATACGTTGAATATGTTCACTTATCCAGTGTTATGATTAGCATCGTTACTAGGGTCTCGCCGTTCGACTTCGTGTTAACACGATTTGAGGGCAAACTGATAAAAAATATATCGAACGAACGATTAGAACGCTAGATACGAAGGTTTGTCCTGTAGTTTTGGCCTCGACTAATCACTAGAGATGGGCAATGATCCGGTCCACACCGTACTAATCCTATCGGGTTGAATATATTTCTTTTTGATTTTGAACTTATGGACTATTTTAAAGTATGAAAAAAATGGACCAAAATTGAATTTGGACCGTACTAAATCTAGCTAAATGAGCCATATATGTTTTCCCCCATTAAACTAGGCCATTTTGTTGAAAGACACCAGGACAAAAATTTTGAGCAAGAATCCCAAGAGATTTATACAGGTTGAGCAAACGAGTCGAACTAAACTCACTACAAGGATCAGAGCGAACTACACGAATTGTTCTATCAAACTGAGTCTAGATCATTTTCAGAAATTCTGTGGCAACAGATAGAAGGTAAGATTTAAGTCGTAAGAAATACACCCAAGTATATCTAGTGGCATAGTCAACAAAAAGGGCAAAATATTTGTAACCATGGCGAGAAGTGACTGAACTCGGCTCCCATAGATCCGTATGAATCAAATGGAAAGTTTCAGTAATATATAACAATAAGGCTAGACGGAAAAGAACTGTGTGTAGTCTTTGCCTCAACACAACTGGTGCACAAAAAATCACTAGGATGTGCCACCTTATTACCGAATAAATTTTGTTTAAACATGGTACTTAGCCGACTAGAGTTTGGGTGACCCAATCTGTAGTGCCACAACTGAAAGTTCTTATCACCAAGACTCAAAAAAACTGGAAAAGATGGTGATACCCTAGACACCAAAGGATTAGACGCAGACGACGATGATGATGGCAAGTCTTCAAGCTCCTCGAGATAGAAAATATGTCACTGCTTGCTACCCCTGCCTATCTCCCGCCCCGTCTTCAGATCCTGCACAGAACACCAAGAAGGTGCAAACACAACACGACACAACTCTGGTCAGTCAATTGACCCACAGAAACCAATTTAGAAACAAGTTTCGGCACATATAACGTGTTAGGGAGATGCAGAGAATGATGATGGACCGATCCCGCCCGTCACAGGTAAGTGAGAACCATTTGCAACTTGAAGGGGAAGATTCTCAACTGATTGAACATCAGTCAATAGAGATTTCTTATTTGTCATGTGATTAAAGCAAGCTAAATCAAGAATCCAATCAGGAAGCTTACCATATGCTTGAAGCCTAGCAAAGGCGGAAGTTATTGCCTTGTTTACCAATCGCTCCAAAGTAGTGGGAGTGACCAAAATCCCTTCATGCCCCGTTGTTGGTTGAGTTGCATAAGTGGGACGAGGTCTAGCACGTGAGTTAGGTCTAGGATAATCACCACTAGATCATTGGCATACGAATCACCACTGTCGCGTCGCTTCTGGAAGTCTCCTCCGCCACGCGACAGACCATCAGTCGCACGCTGCTGGATAACTGGATAATCAGGAATAATATGGCCTTTAGTTTTACAATAAACACACAAAATTACGACGACGATATTATTTCTTTGTGTCGCCTTTCTCGTGACAATGAAAGGTAGCTCCCCGATATGCTGCAAAAGCTGCATCACTGAAATCATCTTAGTTGTCGCTCCTAGCTGGATTTTGACTAATTCGACCGCCATATCCTCCACTCGCCTTGCGCAGGCCCAGCTCCTATAGGCTGATTTCCTTTAACTGTAGCGGCAAAAATTGTACCTTCACCATTCCCTAGGCGCGCATCAATAGCTTCTTGCGCCCACAGTCTCGTTTCCTACCGAATGAGAGCACCCAGGACCTGCTTCAGTTGAAGATCTTCTCAATTGAAAAGAGTGGCACACACATTCTCAAAATCAGGTCATAACCTGGCTAAAAAATGCAGTAGCCTTGTGCGGTTTCTCTATGCTTGAAGCTCGGCAGACTGCTGGGAGGACAATGCGGCGCCCAGAAGGTCTTGCTCCGTCCACAACAACCTAGCCGAATTAAAGTACGTTGTGACATCCTGATTGCCCTGATGAAGATTCCCAAGCTCGATCTCGAGCTCAAATTGCCTCGTCACACTTGTAGTATCATACGTATCACACAACAACTTCCATATAACAGTGGCAATAGGAAGAAGATGAAAGCCCAGGACAATAGAGGGATCCACAGACTTCAAAATCCAAGACCGTAACTCAGCATCCGATTGCACGCACTTGGCCAACTCCTGATTGGATGTCGGTGGAACCGTTGGCTTCTTCGTCGACTCATCGAGATGACCAGCGAAACCCTGGCCTTCAACAAACATTCGAAACTGAACCCATAACGCAAAGTTCTTTGAATTCAGCTTCGCATTGATACCGCCAGTCTCCATTAGTCCAGGCTCTGATACCATGATAATCGACACAGAAGTTAATTGAAACGAAACAGAAGGTAATCAAAACGGGGCACGATTTACGTGATTTCCTTGTTCGTTATGAACAAGACTAGTCTGTGGGAAAGGGTTCTACTCGTCTTCTTATTCCGCACAACTAACCCTACCCGAGTACCATTAACCCTAGCCGAGTACCATTAATAACCCTAATTAACTTTGGGCCCTTAATCACTCATACATGGACATGGGCCATTCAGTATCGTCCCATGGATCGTGAAGGCCCTGTTCCAAAATCGAGATGTGGTTCAGATTGACTTTTAAGTATAATAAACTTAAAATAATTATAATATTATTATTTGAAGTATAATTATATTGTTTAAAATAAAATAATCTATTATCTCTCTAATTTTCTTATTCTTCATGAGATCATTTTCTATTGTTATTTTTTCAAGTTTTTTGTATTATTTTTTAATACAAAACAATCAATATAATGTCTAGTGAATATATACATGAGAATATTAACCAATAATTGACACTAATATTAATTAATATAAATAAAATCATAACCATACTCATAATCAATTAATAATATACTAAAAATACAACCTACAATATATGACGGTTTAACTAACAAATATATATGGAGGCCCCTAATATATTCGGAGGCCCTGGGACACCCTAAAATTTGAAAACGATTATACTACTCTCGTTTTTAGTTTGTGTATGAGAATGTAAGTAGTAGTTTGAGTAATTCAAACCCGAGACATTACTATTACTAATAGCAAAACCCTATTCTCTATCTTTAATTATTATAAAACCTAACAATTAATCTAATTACAAGCTACCCTTAATTTGTATTGATTTTATGGTTGTACGACAAGTGTTGAAAGTGTTTTTTCAGCATTGAGTTACATCATGAACAAATTTAGAAGTCAAATATGCGTCAGTTCGTGAATGATATATTGTCTAGTAGGTTATACCGAGACAAATTTGTTGAGCAGTGTAGACACCAAGTATTTTTTATAATTTTTTTAGAATATGAAAATACATCATTGACTTTTTTAACTAGTACGAGTTGGATATTTTGTTACTAAAGAATAATATAATTTTTATTAATTAATCATTATTTTGTTTACTTTATTTTTTAAAAGGGGACACCCCTATGTAAAATTTCTGGATCCACCACTACCCCATTACCATGCAGTCCATGCACGTTACAATCTCTCAACACTTGCTCCGGTTTTGGTCGTCATTTTTCTTTTATTTTTTCTTTTGATACGGTTCTGTCGCGATTCAAACCGATTTTGCACCAGGTTGACCGATGCCCAGTACCCCTGCCAACCACTAAACCCTTGACCCTTCCGCATCTACATTTGACTATGGAGACTTTTACCTATTTGTTTTATAGGTAAAAGATTTGGCTATTTTCTCGTATTCATTGATGCAGCTAGGCATAGGTTGTATTAGTGAACTACGTAACGAAACTCCATGTACAATCAGTGGTGAATTCGGTAGAGTGCACCACATAAGTCTATAAAGCCGACGGTGACGGCCGGTGGGCACCGCATTCAAGTGGTGGTGGTGGTGGCCGGTTTACGGCTTACAAGCATGCATGCATGCACGGTTTATCCTTCTGGTGATGAATCCGAATCTATCGACGCGACGTGACGCCTTCTTCCTTTCTGTAAAATTCAAAGACCTCATTGTTGGCTTTGCTTTTGCTACTGTCGTCTAAAATTTTGAAAATTTCATTCCCTACCGCTATTTTTTTTTTCCTCCTTTCATTTTACGGCTGAAATATTAATACAGTACTATTCTTTATTAAGCTTCTATTCTTGCAACCATCCAAACGAAATATATATGAAAGAATGAAACGGAGAAATACTTCGTTAGAGTATTAGCTAGGTTTATACCCGACCAGTTTGTCGGGGTTTGATTAATCTTACTTTATAGTATTGTTTGGTTTAGCCGGTTAAAATTGCATGTAATAGACTAAAATGTGTAGATATTATAAAAAAAATGTGACCAAAGGTAAGATAGTCTAACGGTAAAACTGTCGCGACAGTGAAGGTTTGGGAGTTGCATATCCAAGGTTCGAATCCAAGCGAGGCCCGTTGGTGTTCCCGGAGGTACAAGGCTGCTGGGGGTGAAGCCCTGTTGGCGTCGAATTTGATTGCAGGTGGCCCCCCAGATTTAGTAGGACTCATTGTCACAAAGTGGCACGTGAGGCTGAGGTTCCTGAGTAATATAAAAAAATGTGACGACGTACAATTAAATTAATAATACAAGGCTGCTGGGGGTGAAGCCCTGTTGGCGTCGAATTTGATTGCAGGTGGCCCCCAGATTTAGTAGGACTCATTGTCACAAAGTGGCACGTGAGGCTGAGGTTCCTGAGTAATATAAAAAAATGTGACGACATACAATTAAATTAATAATACCAGTAATATCTTTTGATATTGAACTTGTACGATGTCGGTTGAATATACCGTTCTATTTTCATAATTTTATTATTAACGATATGCTACTAATGTAACCATGAATATTGCTGTACAATTATATATAGTTATCCGATATGACTTTTAGTATGGTTTCATAAACAATGACTTTTAGTATGAGTTTCTTTTATTTATTTGAATAATTGGATATGTTCAAGGTTCAATGATTCAGTAGTTCAATTCAACCCCTATCTATGGGTACAGTTTTAGTAGTTGAATTGACAACCTTTTAGGGTTGAAGAGAAAAAGCTTGATTGATATTCATTGGTTTCCAGCTTATATAGCTGATAGTTTTGGTTTACAGACAGTTTGGGGAAGAAGACAAGACTTGTGCCTTAAGCAAGTACAATACCAAAACAGGAAGCAACAGAAATGAAAAGATCAGTGATTAAATGGAAATATGCCAGAAACGGCATCACTCCAGCTCCTATCTTGGCTCCTTGGAACGACAGCGTTGAGGACAGCGGGACTTCTTCGGTTGGTGATTGGAACGACATCGTTGGGAGCAACGGTCGACTCTGCTTCCTCTGTTTGAACTGGTTGCCGCGAAGAACCACTGTTCTTCCCTGATTACCCCCCCCCCCCCCCCCCCCCCCCCCCCCCCCCCCCCCCCGGCAAGCTCGAGGGCAGAGATTGTGGACTCCAAGCTTGGAGAAAAGGGCAGCAAAGGTGGCCGGTGGAAGTGGTTTGGTGAGGATGTCGCCCAGCTGGTGGGTGGAGGATACGTGGAGAATCTTGATCGTCCCTGCAAGAAGCTTTTCACGAACGAAGTGGCAATCGAGTTCGATATGCTTAGTTCGCTCGTGAAATGTTGGGTTTTCGGCTATGTATATCGCCGATTGATTGTCACAAAAGAGAGTTGCAGGTTGGGGGTGTGAAATGTTAATGTCCCGAAGAAGATAGAGAATCCATTTTATCTCACAGGTGGTGAAGGCAAGCGCCCTGTACTCTGCCTCACAGGAGGACCGAGAAATAGTAGTTTGTTTCTTGCTTTTCCAAGAAATGAGGGAGTCACCCAAATAGATGCAGTAGCCAGTTACAGAGCGACGGGTGTCAATGTAGGCAGCCCAATCCGAATAGCTGAAAGCTTTAAGATGAAGATTGGATTTGGATGAAAAGAAGATGCCACTGGAAGGGGCAGTCTTGAGATAACGCAGTATGCGAAGAACAGCCTTGTGGTGAGCATTGCTGGGATTAGTCATATATTGGTTGACTTGTTGTGTGGCATAACTGATGTCAGGGCGAGTGGTGGTGAGATAAATCAACTTGCCAACAAGGCGCCTGTATGATTCTGGGTCTGGAAATGGGTCATTGTGTGAAGCAGAGAGGTGAGTCTTGTAGTCGATTGGTGTTGAGGCAGGTTTGGAAAGCAGGAGGTCAGCATCTTCCAGGATTTCAAGAGTGTATTTCCTCTGGGAAATGTGGATGCAGGAGCTAGTTCGAGCAACCTCAATTCCCAGGAAGAACTTCAAGTTCCCAAGATCTTTGATGCTGAAGGCCTGGTGCAGAAAGGATTTGATATTGGTGATCTCTTGTAAATCATTGCCGCCAACAACCAAGTCATCGACATAGAATAGGATGCTTGTGTAAGAACTGCCATTTGTTTTGAAGAAGAGTGAGTGATCAACTTTGCTGGATTGGTAGCCTTGACTGTGAAGTTTATCTGCTAGCTTAGAGAACTACTGTTGAGATGCTTGCTTTAATCCATAGAGGGATTTGTTGAGTTTGCAGACTGGGTGCTTGAAGCCAGGCGGGGGAGAATAGCCTGGGGGGAGCTTCATGTAGCCATCCTGGTCTAAGTCATCATGTAAAAAAACATTGTTTACATCGAGGTGGTGAATAAACCAGGATTGGGATGCAGCAAGAGCCAGGAACAGTCTGATAGTGGTCATCTTGACAACAGGAGAAAATGTGTCCTGGTAATCAACACCTTCTTGTTGGATGTAGCCTTTGGCAACAAGCCTGGCTTTCCTTCTCTCAAGTGATCCATCATAATGGAATGTAAATTTGTAGACCCATTTGTTTCCAATAATTCTTGTGTTGGGAGGTCTTTCAACGATGTCCCATGTGTGGTTGGCTCCAATGCTTGAGTCTCAGATTTCATGGCATCATTCCATTCATCTGATAGGGAGGCCTCTTGGTAGGTTTCTGGTTCCTTGAGAGTAGAAATGCTCAGAGCAAAATGTTTGTGTGAAGGTGAAAGATTAGAGTAATCAATCACACAAGATAGAGGATAGGTTATACCTGGATGTTGCTGCATTGGAGGATGATTGGTGGAAGAAGTCTGCTGAAGCAGGTTACAATGGTAAGATTGGAGGTGTTTTGGGGGTTTGACAGTTCTTGTTGATTTCCTGGGAGGAGGTTGGGGTAGCTGTTGGGGGGCAGGTGGTGGTGGAGGTTGTGGAGGAGAAGGTGGGGTTGGAGATTGTGTTTCAGAGGCATCATCAGTGCCAATTTCAAAATGCAGGTCATTGAGAAACTATTCTGGGTTAGGGGTGGAGTTGCTGATAGGTGGGTATGTGGGGCTGAAGTCATCAAAGATTGCTGGGTTTGGAGAAGGGGAATAGGGGCTGTGAAGGGAGGAAGAAGATGTGGTGGTGTGGAAGGGGAAATTGTCTTCATAGAAGTGGACATCCCTGGATGTGAAAACCTCATTGGAGGTTAAGTCATAGAGTTTGTAGCCCTTTATTCCAGTAGTGAAACCTAGGAAGACACATTTCCTAGCCCTAGAATCAAACTTTGTTCTATGTCTGTTCAGTGTATTGGCATAGCAAAGACAGCCAAACACTCTCAATTCTGTGAGATCAGAGCCTTTTGAAATAGTTTTTGGTAGGGAGTCAGGTTGCCTAAAACAAGGGTGGGAACTCTGTTGATGAGATGGACTGCATGTTTGACACAGTTAGACCAAAAACCAGAAGGAAGGTTTGCTTGGAATTTGAGAGCCCTAGCAACATTCAGTATATGTTGGTGTTTTCTTTC